GGTTATATGCAAATACTATGCCATTTTATGTAAAAGACTTGAACATCCTCAGGTTTTGGTATCTACAGAGGGGATTGGGGTACTGAAACCAGTCCCCGTCAGATACCACAGAATGACTGTTTTGTATACTAATTTGCTGCTTACTGTAATAATGGTATGTGAAAAGTAGATGGGAGAGAGCGACTGAATGCAAAAAGATCGAATTTTATAGGCCCCCACAACTAATTCAAATTGAAACAGGAGTCAGGGAGGAGAAAGTGTTCTGGCTCACTAAAATACGTGAAAATGTTAGAAGGGGTTTAGTATGAATTAATGTGATACAGCCTTGAAAACAGCTGAAATCCTACATTGCATAACAAAAAGTGGTTATATAGACTATGGAAAGTGACAGTCTTCTTGGAATTTTAAGTTTATTGGCATAGTATGTTAAAAGGGTTAGAGAAAAACTAGAGCTCATTCATAGTGGAGTGACCAGAATGGTAATAGGGATAGAAACTATGCCACATAGAAGATATTGAGGCCAGGTGCGGTCGCTCACGCCTGTAATCCCAACACTCTGGGAGGCTGAGGTGGGTGGATCACTTGAGGTCAGAAGTTCGAGACCATCCTGGCCAACATGGTGAAACTGTGTCTCTACTAAAAACAAAAATTAGCTGGGTGTGGTGGCACGTGCCTGAAGCCCCAGCTGCCTGGGAGGCCGAGGCGGGAGAATCACTTGAACCTGGGAGGCGGAGGTTGCAGTGAGCCGAGATTGCACCATTGCACTACAGTCTGGGTGACAGAGTGAGACCCTGTCTCAAAAGAAAAAAAAAAGAAGGAAAGGTACTGGGAGACTTTGCCTGCTTCAGAAGTATTTCAAGTGCTAAGAAACAATCTGGATGTGCAGAAGTCCTGTGGAGTTTTTTTCTTGCCCCATCTCCCTGATTTTGTTTCTTGTTGACCTTTCAACTCTAAAATCAGTAGGCTTTGCTGAGTTGGGGGCCTTGAGGCCTGGAGAGTTACTAGTACATGCCTTGTTGTGTATTGATCAGGAGAGAAGATTGGGATAGCCACCTATTTGGAAAATGGTAACCAGACCTTAGGGGCAGAACTACTTCTCAGAGTATAAAAGCCTTTAAAGCCTGAGTCAGGAGAATGTCATTTGATGCCAGAGAAGTAAAAGTGTGGGGTGAACTTCCTTGCAGTGAGGACAGAGGTAGTTTTGGTGGTGCTCAGACTATTGGCAGTGCAAGAAGAGCATAACTCCCTTTCTCCACTGCTGGCTATAGCAGAGACTACCAAAAAGCAATGGTGTCCGTTCTACAGTAGCCCTAGTCTTTTTTTAACAGCCCATACTCATTTCTTCTTTCCTACTTGGGGGATGAAAAAGCCTGAATTTATAGTATACATTTTTGTATAGTTGTCTTGTTAGAATATAAATTCTTCAAAGGAAAATATTTTACTTTTTTCTTTAATCCCCATGTTACCTGATAAAGTACCTTGCCAATATAATTCCTGTGAAAAATCCTCCTGAACTCTTTTCATGCATCTGGTTACCACAGCACTTCATACGTACCTGTTAGAGCACTTATGTTGCATTATACATTTTTGTTTTTATACACCTCATGAGTGTAAGCCCTTTGAGAATAGGGTGGAAACTGTCTTACTCAGTTTGATATCCCAACACCTATTACAGTATGTGGCACACAGTAGATAATCAGTAAATTTATCTGAAATAAATAAACGAGTATAGAACTATGCTGACATCAAATGCTTAGAATTAAAGGATATCTCCAAAATTACCTTCCTTTTACCATTGTGTCCCTTTCCCTCTCCCTTGGTCTCCTCATTGTTGATTCTACTACATTAGAGCCTTCTGCTTAACTGCTTGTACCTTCATTGTGATACACTGACTTGCTTCCGTCTATCTACAGTCTTGTCCTGTCCTGTGATACTGAATCTAAGGATAGATTTGCTAATGACCATTATGTTTTACCCTACCTTAGGACTGCCTACATTTACATTGCCTTTATGGGCAACTCAGATACTAATCCTCCACTGAGAAATCACAAAATAGAGAAGTTCACTAATGCTCTGACCACTCTCTTTCTTAGCAATAGTGATATTGGAGAAGGTTTTGTGAAGCTTGGGAATCTGCTGAGATGTGTGGGAGCTCTGTCCCATCTAATCCAGCTGGCCAGCTGTGCAGCTGTAAATGTTAACCAGTTATGTCTTCCAGCTCAATCTGTTGGCAACTAGGAGGATGACTTTGAGGAGAGAAGGAGGGAGGAGTCTCCTCTCAGGTTTCTGACTTGAATGATAAATGGATGGTGAGGACAGCCAAATGTAATAGGGAATAAAGAGGGGGAAGACTATGAATTTAATTATGAATATACTGAGTTAGGATTTCCTGAAAGGGCTTCCAAATAAATATATATAGTAAGCATTTAGATTAAAGAATCTAAAAATCAGACAATATATTAAATTTGAGAGTTCTTAAACCACAAGAATGTATGAAATTGCCATGGATATAGCGTTAGAAGTTCATTAAGAACAGAACTCTAGAATGTAAATGAAGAAGGAAGCAGACCCATGAAGAGAAGACAGAAAAATAATGATCTGAGAGTAAGAAAAGCCAGAGAAGCTCCCCCATCCCCCCAAAAAGCAAAAACAAAACATAAAGGAAAACAAAGAAAGTCGAAAGGTTGTTTCAATAGTGTCAAATATTGCAGAATAAGATAACCAACTGCCCTTTGGATTTGATCATTAAGCAGTCGTATAATCTCACTGAGAACAATTTCATTGGAATAGGAGTAGGAAAAGCCTCATTGCAGTGTGTTGGGGTCTAAAAGCAAGATGAGAAACTGGAACCATCATGTGTAGGAATTCTCTCAAGATTAAAAGAAGAAAGATAAGATGATGGTTAAATCCTTGTAAAGTCTAGGATCCAGGCCTCCCTCCTAATCCCTTAATGCCTGACCAGTCTCCCAAGAGTGGAACTTAAATAGCCAGAACAAGAAACTAGGACTTTCTTAGAAACATGGGCCATGGCACGTTCAGGAGATAGTAGCTTTTCTGCCACTTCACATGTGCAATGATATTTATATGCACATCTTCCTCCTATAAGGGTATCCCAGATCATGTGTGCTACAAACTCCAACTCTTTCGGTTTCCCACTCAAAACCCTGTCTGTAGTATATTTTACGAATGTGTATACATATATATACACACACACACACACATATATATACAGACAAAGTTTGTTTAATTAATAACAGATTACCTCTGGCCTCCTCTTCACAGTTAATCAGGGTGCATTAGTGTATTTTGAGACCATGGTTGATCATTTGACCTGAGTAGTAGTTCAGTAAAGTTGCTAATCCATCTAGAGCCTTATCTGAGTGGATCCAGGGTTTCCCGTTGGTGCTAGGTGTAGCCTGGCTAGGAATTTGTGACATTAGGTATTTACTGTCCTTAAACATTAGCTTTCACTTGCAGCTTTTTACTACCAGTAATATAGTGGAGGCCTTAACATAAGATTTTCTCAGTATCAGGATTGTCATCAATGAATTTCAGAAAACTTTTCAGACCAGAAGGCAGAAAAGCTGTTTGCTAATCCATGTCTCTGACTTTGCCATCACCCTTGTGTTCTCATAATTCACTTAACACCAAGCAAGTATATGCACAGATGGAGGTTCGTGTTGCTGTCTGCTTTCTCTACAGATGGCAGCTGCCATGTTCCTTCAAAGCTCAGTTTTTGTTACAGTGAAATCCTATTGTCATAAAATAATCATGATCCACTCCTACTAATGGGTCTCTCTGTGAGGCTAAAATGGCAGAATTCATTCATTTTTCTAGGCCTTGGATTTTTGTACCTTTAGACCTGCTTTTCATGTTTGTTAAACTCAACATGTGCAAAACTGCTGTAAGCAACTCTTTCTCAACTTTTTCCCCATTTAGGTTAATCATACTACCATCTTCTCAGATGCCCAAGCCAGAAGTCTGGGAAGCATCCTTGATTCCTCCCTGTTTAACCCTTACCAAAATCCATTCACTGTGGCTCTTAAATGTCACAAAAAATAATTCACTACCTTCCATCCTAATTACCACCACTCTACTCCAGGCAGCTTTCATCTTTCACCCAGATTATTATGACAACTTTCTAACTGGTTTTATTGCCTCCAATCTTACTTCTCTTTTATTCTCCAGACTGGAAATATTTTTCAAAATTGCAAACGGATTATTTCTTCTCCCTGGTTAAAATTCTTTAGTAATTGTCCTTAAGAGAAAGTCCAAACTCTTTAATATGGATCTTATAAGGTGCTTTGTAATCTGCCTCATCTTTGTGCCACTTTTTCACTTCATTCTCTGCCTCCGCCATACCACTCCCTCAGTTCTTTATGCTACCATATTCATCCTCACTTTGAACCTTTTAACTGGTAATGCTTTGACATTTGCAGTTTCTGTATTTTGACCAGGTAACTCCTACTATTCTTTATAATGCAACTTAAATATTACTTGTTTAGGGAAATTTTCTCTGTAACCCTGACCTAAGTAAGTTGCCCTTGCTGTGTGCTCCTATAGCATCTTTTATTTTTCCTATGATAGCACTTAGTACCTTTTAATTTTAATTAATTGTTAAATCTTTAGAGTATAAACTCTGTTGAGTGAAGTTACTCTGCTATCTTGCTGGTGATCTTTCAAAGATGGAATGGACTTTCTTGGGAACTTACGTTTCTCAGCACCCATAGTGTTCATGTATAGGGTGAATAGCCCTAGGTTGGGAATGGAAAGCCTTTAAGTTCTTTCCAATCATATTGTTTGTTCCACATATTCAAGGTACATGCATATATCTACTTTAAAAGTCTCTATACATAAGTCATTGTAAAAGAATTTAACCTAATGGAACACATTGAATAGTCAATGAGTAATGGCATAGAGAGAACTAAAGAGATGTTTTTAATTTAGAGCACTGTATGTGGAATTTTTGAAATTAATGTTGTATTTTATATCTCTCATAGGTGAAATGAACCAGAAATACAAGGAGCTAAAAAAAAGGGAGGAAAATATGGACAGTAAGTGATATTCTTGTAGATATAAAAATACAATATTTTCAGATTGCTGTTCATTTATACCAAATCAGAGACCTCATTTTGGGCAGATATAATGGCTAATAAATGCAGAAGTGTGGACATTCAAAGCATTTTGCCTTGAAGAATAGTTTCTAGCATAATTTAGAGATGGGTAGAAAACTCTAAAAAGATATGTGATGAATGTCTATACATTGGGGCTAGATTCTAAAGCTAGTACTTACATTCGTAGTCTGTGTAGAGGAAGCTTATAGACCAGGGGTCCCCAACCCCCAGGCTGCAGACCTGTAGGAACCAGGCCACACACCAGGAAGTGAGCCACTGGCAAGCGAGCATTACCGTCTGAGCTCTGCCTCCTGTTAGATCAGCAGCAGCATTAGATTCTCATATGAGTGTGAACCCTATCGCATGTGAGGGATCTAGGTTGCACTCTCCTTATGAGAATCTAACTAACTCCTGATGATCTGAAGTAAAACAGTTTCGTCCCAAAACCATCACCCGCATCTGTCCCCCAGCCCTGGTCCATAGAAAAATTGTCTTCCATGGTCCCTGGTGCCAAAATGATTGGGGACTGCTGCTATAGACCATTTATTGATTGAATGTTCTCTTTTACATGCTTCACTATATTCACCTTTAGTATCTTTCACTTTTATATTTAGCTTTCCATAATACTTGTTTATTAGCCCTCACATCAGATATTGTCACTCTGTTCTATCACCAGCTGTAATTTTAGTCACTTTTTGTTACAGTTTTGATTCACTTAAAAAAAAATCTCAGCCTGATTTTATAAATTGATTTTCACTTAAACTTATGTTACATACTTATAATTTTTTTAAAAATTGGCATGTATTATCTATTACTGGTTTCCTTTTAAGTTATCATTTTGCTAGAATCTGAATTCTAACAAAACGCTAGAGTTTCATCTAGGTCTGATGTCAATAGTTACCTTCATGGAGGCATGCTATAAAAGAGTAATTGTCAGCTCTTATTTTACAAGGTACCAAGTTTTCTTTAAAATGTCAGTAAATACCAAAAATTATCTCAAAAAAATCTTTTTGAGTCTTTTGGTAAGGGAGAAAGGTGTAAAATCAAGGAACAATGTGTCATGACACCACAATATTAAAAATTACTAGATACTACCTAGTATGGTATCTGGCACTTAGGTGTCAATAAATGGTCATTTAATGAATGTTTACTGAATGAATGGAAAGAATTCCTATACTACAGAATCTTAAAATAGAAGGTCACCTAGCTCAGATTTCTTTCCACATATTAATTATGGTTTGTTTTCCTTAAAAAATAACCCCTGAAAGACAATGTTCATTTATGCTTTTGTGTATATATAAAAATCTCATATGGCCACTTAATCAACAGATTACAAAAATCAACAGATTACAAAAATCAACAGATTATTAAAGCAGGATATTCACACATAAGACCTGTATGAATGCTGAAGCAGGACATTAAAGAAAATTCAGTTTTATAAAAAATATTGATTGTGGTCCTCTACCACCATATTCCAATAAAAAATGTTTTGTTGAAGACTGTTTCACTTTAAAAATATACTAAATATAAGAAAAAAGTAGAATGGAAATCCATTACAGAAGGCAAGCTGTTGATGTTTATTTCATGCTAACAATAAAATTATTTTTGTCTGAAAGTTTCTATGTTTTAGATGCCCCATAGAAATACTCGAAAATGTAAATAAGAACTGGTTCTATATTAAACAAATAAAAAGATAATTTCCTAGAATATTTATTTACAATCTGAATAAATTATTAAATTCATTTAGTTGAAATGAATCCAGCATTATAAATAAAATACTCATTTTCAGATAAAATAGGTATTCAGCAATGGAAATTATAGAAATAAAGTTAGTAGCCAGGGTGTTAATAATTTAATAATTATTGATATATCAAAGGAGATCTTTATAAAAGCAAATTTCTTCTGTCATTTTATCAGCTATTTATTTTGAGCCTATATTTATGACTTTCCGATTTATATCAAGGTCACAGGATTTAGGCAGTTTGTAAGTATGTGAAGTTCTTATTGAATAATTACCTTTGGGTTAATAACAAATTAAACAGTGGTAGCTTAAAATTTCTAAAAATTGGGCCAGGCAGGTGGATCACGTGGTCAAGAGATCCAGATCATCCTGGCCAACATGGTGAAACCCCGTCTCTAGTAAAAATACAAAAATTAGCTGG